CCGTGGAAATGCAAAGAGAAAGTCGACGAAGATAATCTGTCAGCTTAATTGGTTCTTCGTCTTCCTGACCGGATTTCACTTCGATTTCGTCTGGTTGATCGTTGATGGGTTTGAAGTCCGCACGAGGATCACACTCATCGGAAACATTGGTAGCGGTTACTTCAACGTCCTTCTCGTCTTCGGCTTCGGAAATGACGGTGGCTGCTCTGGCTGAACATTCCGCGGGGGTAATGGTGGGTGTTATACGGTTTTTGCCCCACCGGGGAGATGTTTGTTGAAATATTGCTCACCAAGCTATGTTTGATGTGCTGTGATGGAAACTTCACGCTGTAGCTAGCTTGCATGGTGCTAACGAGAAGGAGATCGGAGCTAGTTATTACCATTTTCAATGGGACTGCTGTTACGACTACTGGATCAATCGATGCTGATGGGATCGTTGCATTATAGGTGAAATTCCAGATGTTTAGAAGAATAGCTGTTTGGAGAGCTTGTTTGATCAGCGATGATCCTTTTGAAGTGACAACTGGGACTGGCTGCTGAGGATGAAGAACAACTGCTGGAAGCTGGCTGGAACTGTATGTTCTTGCTGGTAGTAAGCAGGCATCGGCACAGGTTCTTCCATTATATTCAAGCTATTCGAAAGCCTCAGGATACACTTGGGCTTACATTGCTTACAAACAAAACTGACGTTTAATATGAGAAGCATATTCTTAAAGGGAGTAAACAGAGTAAGCAGAGAAAAAAAATCGATGAACGTCGATTAAATATTGAGGTACATTAAGCTACTCGCGAGTTACTCGCTGCAAAAAAAGCAACTCAGAGTTAACCTGTCTCACCCCTTGGGATTCCATGAACCTTAACCTTAAAGAGTCAACAAACTTTGAAACTGAAAACGTGATTGATTTAGGATTGGGCGATCTTGGATCGATCTTTTTCATCTCGATTTTTGATTTTTAGGATCAAATTTATGTTTATTAAAAAAATCGTAAAAATTGATCTTTCTGTTCGATCTTCAAGGAAAAAAATGAATGTCACCATAGTCGCTCCTAATGTTATATAAAATAGGTGACAACAAAAACGAGTACTTCCACATTACCAAGCTAATATTCCATGATATGGGGTTATGATGACTGCCGTTACATTTTTACATTTTTTTTACAATTGAATTTGACAATTGAAAGCATTTGTGGCATTAATTCCATTACTGATTGCCTGATTCCACTTGTTTTTTTTTTATTATGGTCTTGCTTTGTAGCTGCGCTTTTACCGACTGAGTTACCCAAGGGAAACCCCAAAAAAGATTGATTTTTTGATACCCATTTAATCGATTGATCGATTCTAGTGCCGTAAATAAAATTGATCCGCCAAGATCGATCTTTTCCTAAAGATCGCCCAATCCTAACGTGATTACACAAGACACAACACGAGAAAAGGGCCTATCATTGTTGATCGATTCTCTTCATCGATTTTCTCTTTCGCGAATAACCCGCACGGCGAATGAGAACGACTCAAATTTGAGTTTAGTTCACTCATAATCGCCAAAAGTGCAGGAACTCAGCGATGAGTAAAATTTGTCTCATGGTTTCCTGTGGAAAACCTAAAAAATCTGCCGGAAAATGAGGATATTGACGAAAATTTTATTCAGTCTCGGAGTAGTACCAATATACTGAGTGAATCCAATCTTTACTTTTCTCAAATGCGAGAATTTTTCCCTGGAAAATCCTGGAAAAACCTGGGAAAACGTGAGGCAAATTAACTCATCGCTGAGTTCCTGCACTTTTGGCGATTATGAGTGAACTAAACTCTAATTTGAGTCGTTCTCATTCGCTGTGCGACTGCAAATCTAGATAAACATTTCAAAAGCTCCTATCTGCATTGATCGATTCTCTTCATCGACTTTCTCTTTCGTTAAAAACTCAGCTGCAAAACCTTTCACTGTTGTATTTGACGTTTTGGACGCTAGATAAGAACCTCCTTTAACAAACTATGTGGTCAATTTAGCGCGATATCTGTTTCCATAGCAGTGCACCCTGGGCCAGAAATGCAATCTAGCGGAGCAAAATAATAACTCCGAAACGAAGCATTTCCGCGACTTGGTGTCTTCGGTGAAGTTTCTCATCATAATACGAACCATTTATTAACATAAACGAATGGTTCAAAATTCTTGCACAAAGATGGCGCCACCATTTAACTTCTTTCTCTGACGTTTTGGAGACTTGATGTATTGGGCAAAGTTGTTTGCCTTGACAAAATAAACAACTCTTTCCAAAACATAAAATATCCACAGCCTACTGGTTCCGAGTTATGTGGAGTTAAAGAAAAAAAGGTCGAAAATATGGTTTTTTCTTTCTGTTTCGGTTTTTTGCTGACAACGATATAATGTTATATTTTTCTCTTATTCAAATGCATTAATTAAATAGCTTTTGTGAAGAAACTTATTGGTTTAAGCTTCAAATTTTAAAGATATTGTTGGAAAACCGAAAAAACAACAATTTTTGAACTTTAATATCTCCCAAAGCGCAAAAAATCGCAACCTGATATTTTCAGCAAAAATTAGGAAATACTCGATAAACAAAATATCAAAATTTGAGAGAGTCTTCAAAACGCCATTTCAATGCATTAGAAATCTCAAAAACACCAAAATATACCTCTAGCGATTTTTTACTTTCAGAACGTAATCAAATAAAATGTTATTGCTATCCCTAATAAAAAATTACCATAAACGAACGATAACCCAAATGTGTGAACTATTCCACAAATGGTTTGGATGATACCCAGAACACGTCGTTAAGCAAATTAACCATAACATTTTTATTAGGGATCCCTAATAAAAATTGTATGGTTAATTTGCTTAACGACGTGTTCTGGGTATCATCCAAACCATTTGTGGAATAGTTCAATGATTTGGGTTATCGTTCGTTTATGGTTATTTTTTATTAGGGATGTTATTACATCAAATACAAATAAGTGAAACTAGAAGACCCTATGCATTTCGAAACCGAATTGAATATAGTTATGACTCTAAATTACGATTTCAAAGTCGTTGAACAGGCACAAAGTGAGGTTACGAGATGCCACTGCACGCTATATTGAGGAATAATTTAACCCCCCTTCTCCTCTTGCGTCATGTTTTTCCTATAGAGTAACCCATCCGTATATGCGTTGGTTGGACCGTCAACCCACCGCGGTTCATCGGCTGTCCTTCAACCAATTACGCTGATTTTTTGTATGATTAGTGTCAACCATAAACTAGTTATCTACAGAAAATCAGCTCAATTGGTTGAAGAACAGCCGAGAAATAGCAGCGGGTAGACTTTACCACCCACCGCATATATGGAGGGCTTACTACTTATCCATTCTATTTGCGCGAGTATTGATGGTCCGAAAGCGAGGATATAGAGATTTTCACGTCTGGTTGTATTTGTGCGCCGAAAGAACTGCTGCTGCTGCTGCAGTGATGACGACCGGACCACTCGCGGTGATTGAATAAACACCGGTCGGTGAGACCGGATGGAATTCTATTTTGAAATCTGTGTTAGGGAAAGCGCTTTTCGGAGGCAATCGGTGATAATTTCAATTATTATATCAACAGAAAATTGATAAAGTCTTAATTTTAACAGATTCGTAGAAAAAATCCAATCCATTGGCGTATTAAGAATTAAAATCCATCATCTCTGGATCAAAATCAAACCATTTTCATGCTGCAACCGACTTTGGTTTCTGAAATGTCACCCCCAATGTTGCCTTAAAAATTCATGGTATGTTAGATTTAAACTTATGGGAACTGACATCCTAATGGTGACCTCATGTGTCCAGAAAATACTTTTTAACAAAGTTATGGTGGTCCTGAAGTTATGGTGGTCCGTTTTGTCGTGATGGTTGAGTAATGCTGAGCTATTAGGGTATTGAGCACAGATGAGGCTGGCGAGCTGTATGTTGTTGGGAACGAGGGTGACGCGCTTGGCATAGATGGCTCACAGCGACTCACGAAGAGCTACTGAATCTGATCAGTAGCGGTGCGGCTTCTTTCTGTTTCTTCGGTGAATGGAAGCTCATGCGAACTGCAGCTCGCTGCTTGAGGGCAGCCTTTCGTTGCGTATTGGAGAACAAAGTTCAAGGCCACTGCTGCTGAAAACTACCGACCAAACACCACCACACACGGTGATTTAATAAGCACCGTTCGGCGAGACCGGATAGAAATCGATTTTGAAATCCGTGTTAGGGAAAGCGCTTTTTCCAGGCAATCGGTGATAATTTTGATCACCATTGCAATAGTTGGACATTTGTGTAATTTTCAATAGTGACTTATTTTAGCAGATTCGTAGAAAAATGTCCAAACGACTGACTTGTTTAGAATTAAAATCCATCCGCTATTGACAGACCCTAATAAACGGGTACCATACTCTAACGATATCATAGATGGTACGACTATCCCACATAAAGTTGGGATGATATCCCGAATTGGTGGTTAGGCGCTTCTTATGGTTATTGTTTATGCGGGGAGTTATAAGTGGTCAAAACCTGACCCCTTTTCGTGATGCAGTCGATTTTGGTGTTTTGAAATTGCACCCCAATATGTTGCAGAAAGACGTAATCTTATTAAAAAAAAAAATATTGGAATTGAAAACGTGCGTTTGATTTACATGGCAATCACTCCACCGTGAGTGACAACTAGTCACTTCACTTCGTTTTCACCGTGAAGTGACACCCGTAATGAGGGCCGCAATGCCCTCTGTCCGGAGTGTGGAAATACAGAGGAAACACCGGAGCACGTGGTATTCGACTGTCCCAGACTCGAAGCAGTGTAAAGGGAGATGTCATCGATGAAATGTGTCGATTGAGCAACACCGACTTGCGCTGACCTAATGACCCCCCATGAGATGATTAGAATTTGTAAAATCACATTTAAATCCACTTACACTTTCTGACCTAACGATCTATAACCCAAAAATAAAAGCTACTTTTCTCATCCCCTTACTCGCCCATGTCCGAAACGACAGGAAATGAAAGCGATGCTGTACACGGCCGTGGAAGAGGCCCCGGCCCTGGACAGCGTCGAGGATGACATCATCAAGCGCCATTTTGCCAACTTTGATGAAAACTTCTACCACTACTGCGACGAGGAGCTGAAAAAGATCAACACATTCTACTCGGAGAAGCTGGCCGAAGCCACCCGAAAGTATGCCGGTCTGAGCGCCCAGCTGAAGAACATGCTCGAAAGCCAACACAAAACCAAATCCAAAGGTCACACGCTGAAGCGGATGAACCTCCCCTACCGGAAAGCGCAGGAACTGAAGCTGGCCTTCAGTGAGTTCTACCTGAGCTTGATCCTGCTGCAGAACTACCAGAACCTCAACCACACCGGGTTTCGGAAAATTCTCAAGAAGCATGACAAACTGTTACGGTGCGATAACGGTGGTCGGTGGCAGAAGGAGCAGGTCGAAACGAGCCATTTCTTCACCAACAAAGACATCGACAAGCTGATCAACGATACGGAAACGACGGTCACTACCCAGCTCGAGAGCGGCGATCGACAGAAGGCCATGAAGCGGCTGAGGGTTCCCCCACTCGGAGAACAGCAGAGTCCGTGGACCACGTTCAAGGTGGGTCTGTTCAGTGGGAGCTTTGTAGTGTTGTTCATTGCTGTGATCCTATCGGCGATCTTCCACGAGAGTACGGGAGAAAATCTGAAGATCGCCTTCCGACTGTACCGGGGGCCCCTGTTGGTGATCGAGTTTGTGTTTCTACTCGGCGTTAACATCTACGGCTGGCGGTCGTCCGGAGTGAATCATGTGCTGATCTTCGAACTGGATCCCCGGAATCACCTGTCCGAGCAGCACCTGATGGAATTGGCAGCCATTTTGGGAGTCGTTTGGACGTTGAGCTTGCTAAGGTTTGCTAGCGATCGCATTGGTGATGATTGAATAATGTAATGTAATTTGAATGTAATCTGTTTCAGCTTCCTGTACAGCGCTAGCTTGAGTATACCACCGTACGTGAATCCACTGGCGTTGACCGTCGTCATGATTGTGTTCCTGATCAACCCGTTCAAGGTGTTTCGGTACGAGGCGCGGTTTTGGCTGCTGAAGACGATCGGCCGCATGGTGGCAGCACCGTTCTTCCACGTAAGCTTTGCCGATTTCTGGCTGGCTGATCAGCTCAACAGTCTGGTGACGGCGCTGATGGATTTCCAGTTCCTGACCTGCTTCTATGTGACCAACGGGGACTGGCTGGATGCGGGCAGTAAGGGGAAATTCTGTTTTTTTTTTGTGTGGGAAAGCTTTGATTGATTATTTTCCGATTGCAGATACCAGCCAGTGTATGGAGCAGAACTATATCATGCGTCCGATCGTGAACTGCTTGCCGGCATGGTTTCGTTTTGCGCAATGCTTGAGGCGTTACCGGGACTCGAAGGAAGCGTTCCCCCATCTGGTCAATGCTGGGAAATATTCGACCACATTTCTGGTGGTCATCTTTGCTACGTTGAGGAGTTTTCACGCATGTAAGTTGTGGGAGGAGCGCATGCCGACACGGCATGGGGAATCATCGAATTTAGTCCGTTTTTTGTTTCGAATTTCCATTAATATTCTAAGGCTGTGTTCCACACGGTCAATCAGAACTCAGAGCATTTTTTTTTTCATACGAAATTTACTCATACTTGGGAAAAACCTGCAGTTACGCATTAGCTATGAGGTCCTGCAGGTTTTCCAAATATGAGTAAATTTCGTATGTTAAGGAATGCTCTAAGTCAATTGAATTCAGTCGCTGAGTCGTTCTGATTGGCCGTGCGTCAGTATTTTGTATGTGCTGTTTATCTGTTTCTGTATCTGTGGTTCGTAGTTGCCCTTTATTTAACAAATTATGTTCCTAAAAACATACTTTGGTTCACTTCTGGCTGTCAGGACAACGGGTTTGCAGTTATATGTGGTGGTCAAAAAATTAAAAAAAATCTATTGTAGATGCAGAGATTTAATTAAAATAATGTTTAAAACGTTTCTTGATCCCTTTGAAGTTTTTATTTAATAATAATGTTAAAATAACACGTCTTACACACTTAAATCTTTTTGCCAAGATTCCAACAGCCTAGTAGCTGAGATTCAGTAAAACAATTACCGAGACTCAACTAACAAGCAGATATTTTGCAGATATATCAGCAAAATTAAATGCCGAGGTAATCTGCTGTTGAAAATTTCACCAAGCTAGATTGAGTGTGTAGACCTAAGTTTAGCCTCAGTGATCTTCATTAAATTAAACAAGCATTATTTGCCACACTTCAAATCCGTAGCCAAATACGAGGACGCCTACGACAATCCGTACCTGTGGCTTTGGCTGCTAAGTCAGGTCATATCTTCCGTCTATGCGTACATGTGGGACATCAAAATGGATTGGGGTCTGTTCGACAAAAATGCCGGCGAAAATACCTTCCTCCGGGAGGAAATCGTCTATTCGACACCGGTAAGTTTAGCCCACAGTCTTCCCCCGGTTTCCTCCTAATCCTCAATGAACATTACTCTGCTGCAGTTCTTCTACTACTTTGCCATCATCGAGGACCTGTTCCTACGATTCGTGTGGGCCATCTCGTACGCCCTCATCGAGAACAAAGTCGTCTCGGGCGATCTGATGACGTCGGTCCTGGCGCCGCTGGAAGTATTTCGCCGTTTCGTGTGGAACTTTTTCCGCCTGGAGAACGAGCACCTCAACAATTGTGGTAAGTTCCGAGCCGTTCGGGACATTTCCATTGCACCGATCGATTCCAACGATCAGATCATCATACTGAAAATGATGGACGACGAGGATGGTGTTATCAATAGGTAAAGCCGGCGGAAAATCAACCGAAACTACCTACCGTATATCTCATCTTTCCCATCTACTTTTTAACCCCAGGGACACCAAAAACAATCGAGCCAAGCACAAAAAGACCAAAGAAGACAGAAAGCCGCTGCTGCAAGCGTTCAAAGGCTCCCTGCAAGACCTGGATGTGAACAGCACGAAAAAGCTCTGAGAGACCAACGACCTGCTCAAGTGTAGTTAATGTGTACAAAATTGTACTTATTCAGTTAGTCAAAATAGTTTTTAACCCCATCTTCGTAGGACGCCTCACCGGGCGAGATAGGATATTTAGAACCCAACTCCCACATTCCTCAAACGAATTAGACTCCGATACAAGGTTGCAACTCATTTCAGATAACAAAATGTTTTTTAGGAATTGTGAAGTCATTAGACGGTATGAACATATGTTTTATTTGTAAGATACAAGAAGAGGTTGCAAAGTATGTTTTTGACGCATAAAACCTAGAAATGTCGCTTCCTGAGAGTCGTTATCAGCAATTTTCATATAATCGCTGATTGTGACTCTTAGAAAGCCAGCACATGCTTTGTAGTCTTCTCTTGTAGCTTACAAGTGATGTTATGCAAAATGAACATTTGCAACCTTGCTCCGAGATTGGCGCTTCCTAGCAGCAAGCATCAAAAGAATGTGTCAGAAACAGTGCGTCCGTTGTTGCACATTGATTAGGACAGTTCACAGTTAGGGTTGCGATACGTGATAAAAGTAATGCCTTATGAAGAAATGTTTGTACTTCCATATTTTTTTTTACTAATCTGACGGATATAGAGATGATGCAATAATATAGATTTATACGTGAACAGTGAAAGCAAATACGATTGACTGTAGGATGATCTTTGCCAAGGATCTAAAAAAAAAGAATATCTTGTTAGGAAATGAAAGAAGAAAGCGCTGGAAAATCAACAGCACGTCGTCACATGTCGATTTAGTTGTGGCAGTATTACTTACTACCCTCCCGAAACATTTGATTTTATATCAATGACTCCCATCGTTTTGTCAGTCCAATAGAGCTTAGGAGGCAACTTCGTCGTACAAAAGATGGCCAGGTTCCGCTTTCAGTTAAGTGCTAAATTGTAGAGAATAGGTCATACCCCATACATAATTAGAACGTTTCAATAGAGGTGCTGTAGAAACAGTTTCTGAAACACCAGTTGGCTTAGTGTGCTACTATTTCGCCTGAAGTGGAACAAGTTTGTGATTTCATTCCAATAAAGATATGATATGATTTTTATGATCGCTGTGTTAACAACTTCTTAATGCCGATTTCCATGCTGATGGTTTCTGTATGCGGGGTAGTTCAATGGGATCCGGAGAAGATTAGCGAATTTCCGAGAAGTTGGGTGAAGTTCGGAGAAATTTAGAACTTTGCAGAAGTTCATAAAAAATTAATTCCTCGCGGATTTTGGTAGATGTTAAAGGAACTTCAGAGAATTTTAGAGAACTTTGGGAAACTAAATGTAAAAAAATCCGAAGAAACTCAGGGAGTTTAATAAATGTTCAGGTTTTTTAACATTAGCGAAGACAACAAGTCAAGAAGACTGGTAACTCTTCCATTTTCTCATACGAATGCTGAGACAGGTACACTCGAGTCATCTGCCGCTCAAAGGTAAATGCTTCAAACGAATTTGATAGCAAAGATTGCTTCCACCTTCACTCAAGCGCAGCGCTATTGTATACGTCGCTTGGATTCTGGCAAAGTTACCAGTCTTCTTAATATGATGTCTTCGATATTAGTTAAGGATCCTTTAGAGAAACTTCAGGAAAGTAAAAGAAAATTCGAAGCTGCTTCAGAAACTGTTGGTTTTAAGCAACTTCGCAGAAATGTGGAGAATTTCGGAGATAATTATGGATTTCTAAGAAGTTTAATGAATTTAAAATTGTTTTAAGAAACGTCTAAGAAATTGAGAAAAGTTCAGTGATTTTAAGATTAGTTTTGTCCGGCGTTTTTCGACCGGTGGGGGAATTTTCCCCCCAGAGGGAATGCAATCGTACTGAGGATGACGCGGGAAGTGGCGGGTGTGCGAAATTTTGGTGTTTTGTGTTCATAGCATAATAAAAGTCCTGTATTGTAGGGTTTTATAATGCCCTCAAATGCAGACCAGAAACCTAGCATTTCGTGCTGTGAACAACGGCCGGAAAGAGTTGGAACCGTTGGGGCACATTGTTAGAGACCAACTATAGAGGATGATGAATAGACTTCTGTAGTTTGTTTTGTGTGAGTTGCAACATTATTTGAATTAAGGGTACTAATGGGTTCTGATTAGCTGCCTCTTTCTCTTGAGCCCACTCTAGAACCTATATTTCTTATTTAGATCTATAAGTGAACTGCTGGTCTGAGTTCCTCAGTCAGTTAAACAGCACGTAATGTTGTGAACAACTTCAATGGCAGTTGTCCAGCAGTGCTCCCATTATATTTACAACAATCCAACGCCTACGAGATTGTGCCGATGGATGTGCCCAAGCTGTGCCGCCACAATGTGCTGCGTGACTTACCCCTTGAGTGCTGCAAACTTTGATCAGGTTTTGGCTTGTTGGCCTGGCGAAAGCCTCTTTAGTAAACAAAACTTCTTGTTATACTAAGCCTTGAATTTGTACTCAATAAATATTTTTTACTAGTCATTGCCAGACGTGATTAACTATCGTAGGGTCATTTAGGTTATGGGCCCAGACAGGCAAATTATAACAAAAATTCACTGAAGTTTTTGAAACCGGAAGTTTTTAAGTTCCTAAGATGTATCATGCCAACGATAATCAATCCGGTGCCGGAGAAGGAAACGGAAGATTTGGCGGAGATGAAAGTGGCAAAAATGCCGGAGAAGGAAGCGCAAGACTGACAGGAGGTGGAAGGATTTCGCTGCCGGCCATGGAGCGTCTTCGTGGGCGTTTGCTGCCAACATGCGCCAGAAGAAGACGATTCGGCGAATGCACAATTACTGAGGGCACTTGCGACGATTTGCCTGAGCATTGAGCCAATAAATAACAACCGAGGTGCGAACTGCCAAGACGGCGAAACAGGCATGGAATAATCTCGAGAAAGCCTTCCAGAACGACGGGATAACACGACGAATCGGATTGCTGCGTTCACCAGCATTCGCTAGGGAGAGTTTTCTACCGTGGAAGCTGAAGTGTACCAGCCATAAGTTGAGCGAAGCTGGATTCAACGTTGATGTCGAGTGCAGGGTGGCCAGATTATTTTTTTATTATCGGTAGTGTTTGGCACGGATGGCAGAGGACTTATACCCCGTTCACATTACAGCCTATATCACGTAATATAGGCTGTCTTGCAATAAGCACTCACACATCTAGTTTTCACTGGAAATCCTATGTATGAGTGCTCATTGCAAGACAGCCTATATTACGTGATATAGGCTGTAATGTGAACGGGGTATTAAACACAAGCTGTCCCGAGTTTGTGTAACTACGCGAAGGTTTACTTACCACGCCGAATGGTTTGGATGGTACGCCGTTGCCCTGCCGATTTCAATTCTATCAAACAAACTGTTCAAGACGTATTAAAAAAATCAAAAGATTGATTCTTTGGTACCGATTTAATCAGTGGATCGATTATAGAGTCAAATATAAGATCGATCCGTTTAGATAGATATTTCTCTGAAGATCGCCCAATCCTAGTGTGAACCAATGATAATGGGCCTCGAGGCGTCTGGAAAGAAGATCACAGTCTCGATAGTGTGTTTACATCTGTGCGGATTTGCTAGCGCTAGTGTACTAGCCAACTATCACGAATTTTAGTTGCTCATGGAGTGTTTACACTTATGCTATTTCACTAGCAAAAACGCTCATCAGTATAATGTAAACACGGCATCAGCGTCTACCATCATGAGATTTCAGGAGCAACTGAAATTCGTTGTCCTCTGCTGTCCGAAGAAGTCGTCTCCACTCTACTCGATCCATGGCCACAGTTCGCCAGCCTCGTAGTCTGCGAAGGGTCCGCAGGTCACCTTCTACTTGGTCGATCCACCTTGCCCGCTGCGCGCCTCTTCTTATTGTTCCTGTTGGGTCGCTTTCTAGAACTATTTTCACTGGGTCGTCGTGCGGCATTCTTACGACGTGCCCAGCCCACCGTAGTCGCCCAATTTTTGCAATGTGGACGATGGATGGTTCTCCCAGCAGCTGGTGCAATTCGTGGTTAATTCGTCTCCTCCACGGCCCGTCATCCATCTGCACTCCACCGTAGATGGTACGCAACACCTTCCGTTCGAAAACACCAAGGACGCGTTGGTCCTCCACGAGCATAGTCCAGTTCTCTTGACCGTAAAGGACCACCGGTCTAATCAGCGTCTTGTAGACAGTCAACTTCGTGTGGCGGTGAATTTTATTCGACCGGAGCGTCCTCCGGAGTCCAAAGTAGGCACGATTCCCTGCCATAATGCGTCTTTGAATTTCTCTGCTGGTATCATTTTCGGCGGTCACCAGTGAGCCCAAATACACGAACTCATCGACCACCTCGATTTCGTCACCGTCAATCTGAACTCGGGGTGGGAGGCTAACATTGTCTTCCCTAGAACCTCTCCTTTCATGTATTTTGTCTTTGATGCGTTGATGGCAAGTCCAATCCGCCTAGCTTCAGCCTTCAGTCTGATGTACGTTTCCGCCATCGTCTCAAAGTTCCGTGCCATTATGTCAATGTCATCGGCAAAGCCAAGAAGCCGGATGGACTTCTTGAAGATCATGCCACTCGCGTCTATCCTAGCTCTTCTGATCACACCTTCTAACGCGATGTTGAATAGCAGACACGAAAGTCCATCACCTTGCCGTAACCCCCTTCGAGATTCAAAGAGACTCGAGAGTGTCCCCTATACTCGAACAACGCACATCACTCGATCCATCGTCGCCTTGACCAATCGCGTCAGTTTGTCCGGAAATCCGTACTCGTGCATAATCTGCCATAGCTGATCTCGATCGATTGTGTCGTATGCGGATTTGAAATCGATGAACAAATGATGTGTGGGCACGTTGTATTCGCGGCATTTCCGCGAAATTTGGTCCGTGGTAGCGCGGGCACCCATGAATCCCGCCTGGTATTGCCCCACGAACTCTCTTGCAAATGGTGACAGACGGTGGCATAGAATTTGGGAGAGTACCTTGTAGGTGGCGCTCAGCAGTGTGATCGCGCGGTAGTTGCAGCAATCCAACTTGTCGTCCTTTTTGTAGATTGGGCATACGACACCTTCCATCCACTCCTCCGGTAATATCTCCTCCTCCCATATCTTGGCAATTACCCAGTGCAGCGCTCTAGCCAGTGCTTCACCACCGTATTTTAATAGCTCACTTGGTAGTTGATCTACACCAGTTGCTTTGTTGTTCTTCAGCCGACCGATCTCCTCCTCAACTTCTTGAAGATCAGGGGTCGGTAGCCTGTCGTCTTCTGCGCGTGCTCCAAGGTCTGTTGTTGTGCCACCTTCGTTTTCTGCTGCATCACCATTGAGGTGCTCGTCATAGTACTGCCTCCACCTCTCAATCACCTCACATTCGTTCGTGAGAAGGTTACCATCCAAGTCCTTGCACATATCAGCTTACGGCACGTAGCCTTTGCGCGAACTATTTAGCTTCTCATAGAACTTCCGTGTGTCGTTTACGCGGTACAGATTTTCCATCGTCTCACGATCTCGGTCTTCTTGCTGACGCTTCTTCCTTCGGAAAACCGAGTTTTGTCTGTTCCGCGCTTGTCTGTATCGCTCCACATTCAATCTCGTGCGGTGTTGCAGCATTCTCGCCCGTGCTGCATTCTTCTCCTCTACTAACAGTTTGCATTTGCCGTCAAACCAGTCATTTCTTCGGTCCGGGATTGCAGTACCTACACAGTTCGAAAAAGTAGCGTACATTTACATTAAATATCATGCACATAAAAGGAGCGTGATAAATAATGTAGCATTACATTGCATTCTATTTTTACATTAACATCTGGTTTAATGTATATTAAATTTAAGATATGGAAATGTAGGCTTACATTTGCATGTAATTTTAAAACCTAGATGTAATTATACGCTTTAATAAACGGAATTCCCCATTTTTCCCATATTACCTGTCGGATATTCATAATAAACTAATTTTTATTGCATTTTATAGAATTTTTGTTTTTATTGATTTCTTAACTCAAAAAAATACATTGATGTTCATTTTCACTCTGACATTTGCAATTTTTGTCGGAGCGATGTCACATTAAACTTTTTTTTTAATCTTGGATCGCCGTATCCGTGACATGCTGTTTGA